AAAACTATGAAGCGCACTATCTGGATCCCGTCATCGGCAACCTGGGACACGTAAACATCGAATTCAAGGTATTAATACACGTAGACACCGAAAACTACGGAGCGCACTATGTGGACCTCGTCATCGGCAACCTGGGACACGTAGACATCGAATTCAACGTATTATTACACCTGGACACCGAAAACTATGAAGCGCACTATCTGGACCTCGTCATCGACAACCTGGGATACCTAGACATCGAATTCAAGCTTGATTCATAAGAATCGACTTAAAAATTCCCTAGCGGCACTTTCTGCCAAGCGTAGAGAACCTTCTTTTCCGTTGACTTCATATATATTATATCAAGCTTGATTCATAAGAATCGACTTAAAAATTCCCTAGCGGCACTTTCTGCCAAGCGTAGAGAACCTTCTTTTCCGTTGACTCAATATATATTATATATTATACCTAATTTACCTAAATAGAAATCTTCCTCCTGACCGATAAGTCTATCGACCTAATTTTGAAATACGCGCGCGATATCGAAACTGGCGATACCTGCGCCGCCAGCGTCGAAAAAGTGAAAGGGACGTTTCTCTGATAATCATAATAATATTGAGACGTCGGCGTTAGGAGGAGTATCTTAAAAATAAATTTTCCCATTTGGACTTTGCGTCGCAATATCTCCGCTCGTAGGGCACGTAGCGAAATATTATGAGAGAACCCCCCCCCCCCCCATTGGACCCCAAGCTATCGATCAAGCCTACTTAGAACTTGATCCGTTCACTCGTTATCGAGATCTCAACATCTCGGGTACTCGCAACCCGTCGCGTCGCGTAAAAGAGTCACGGTCGGTCTCGCTCCGCGTGTACTTGGCGCGAGACACTACCGTGTCTCTTGATCATACAGGTCATTATTCGTGCACAAAATGTGACCAAGAAGGTGAAATGATTAATAATGTATTATGTTTCCCTGAAACAGAGCGCATTTGCAAAAGAACTGATACTTCATTTAGAACTGCTGCTCAACCAGAGCATCATATTAGTAAAAGTATGTTTTTACAAATACCAAACTTTAATATGATAGATAACGTACCTATAGATTATATGCATAATCTTCCATTAGGTGGCATGAAAAGAATCCTTTGTCATAAACGATACGGATGGATTTACGGTAAACCACCTTATAAGTTACGAGCTCGTGATGTTAATAACATTTCGGAAAATCTTTTAAAACTAAAGCGATATATTCCTCATGAATTTTCTAAGAAAACACGTTCCATACTTGAGTGTAAAAGATACAAAGCTACAGAATTCAGATTTTTTTTACTATATGCTGGTCCTATAGTTTTAAAAGATGTCTTATCGTCTAAAATGTATAACCATTTTGTTACATTAAGTCTTGCAAGTTCTTTAATGATAAGTCCATATTATTCGAGATTTGAAAATTATATATTATATGCTAACAGTTTGATGAACCATTTTATTTGTCAATCTAATAAAATTTATGGTCCGGACTTTGTATTTGTGGGGTTGTAGGTTAGGATTAGGTTAAGGTGCGTTGTTCCCACAAATAACGAAACGTTCAATTGGGTATAATCTCGCTAGGTTTATTCATGCTCTCTGTACAAAATAAATATCTCTTCTATATGAATGTGTAGATGGTCGTGTGTGTTGGTGTAAGTTATCCTTGTGTAGTGTAATATATGCATTACTATTCTTTGAATAATTGTTTGATAATTGATTTCTTCTTCTCGAAAATAATTTCTCGCGGGACCACCAGGTTCCGTCCGGGAGTCCTAGGCTTGCCTTTTGGAGTGGATGGAATGGGACTCAGTTGGGTCTGAAGAAATCGAGGTCGTGTAGGCGTCTTAAAAATGTGGTCTGTTTGAGTTGCCACAGAGTTCTCCAGATCGATAGGATGAAGTGGGCGTCGAACACGTGTAGCTCGTGGTGGTATGTCAATCGGATAGAGTTTTCACGGTAGGAAGGTTTCTATCCTGAAGATCGGTATAGAGTCCCTCGCCTGGATCTCAAAAGCCGGTATGTCCTTGGGAGCCGGAGTAGAGATGGGTACGAGCTTCCAAGGTAGGAAGGTCTCTACCTTGGAGGTTAGGATCGGATCCCGCGTCGTAGCCTCAGGAACAGGAGTTATAGCTGGTGTAGGGCTCGGTAGGACTGGAGTCGGACTTGGAATAGATGGTGACTTGATTTCCACCGATTTCAGTGTTGCTGGGTCAGTATGACCCCACTTGGAAATCAGGGTGAATCTCCACTTCGTCTTGGACTTAGTCTGCAGGATACGTTTCCCAGGAGGTAGAGTTTCTACCTTGGTAATCAGGATGCGATTCTTCGTCTTGGTCACAGAAACAGGAGTCGGTGCCGAGGCCGTAGTCAGAGGAGGCAGCGCCTTGGTCTCAGGAGCAGGAGCTCGAGATGAACAAGGCAGCGCCTTGATCTCAGGAGCAGGAGCCGTGGTAGGAGAAGGCAGCGCATTGGTCTCCACCGGATATGGAGTTGCTCGACGGGCTGGGTCGCGACGACCCCGGAAACCTTTCCGCGGCAGGGTGTCGGTTGACTCTTTACCGTAGATAGTTAACGCCCTGCCAAGCAGGTATAGACGAAGGCCCTGAGGAGAGCAACGCTCCGTATCTACAAAGGCCCTGAGTAGAGCAACGCTTCGTACCAAAAGAGAATTATGTTAGGGGTCTCGGTAGGTAGCACGCCCTGACTGGCGTTCTCGAAGATCGCTGGGGAGGCCCAGCTGAGCTGCCCTTTATATAGGGATCGATGTCGAACCTTACTTACGAGAGAGATACGCCGCGCAGCGGTGCGCGCCGAACTATCCCGCCGATCAATACTCATGTCACGCGCCGATCGATATTATGCTACTATCCGTGCTGCGCGCCGCGCGCCTCCCGTCATATTATTCGTGTAGCGTATGTACGGTCGCGCGCACGTGGCGGACAGCTGACCGCCACAGTATCAAACAACATACATAACTTTCTGCATTTAAGTGACTGTGTTAAATTATATGGCTCACTTGATAATTTTAGTGCTTTTCCTTTTGAAAATTATATGCAGCAATTAAAGAAAAAGATTCGTAAATCTACTCTGCCTTTACAACAAGTAATACATCGTGTGCTTGAGGAAAATAATATTACTGATCAATGTACTTTCTCTAATATTTCAAATGATAATTCTTCTGTAAAACTATTGATGGAACATTTTAATGGACCTTTGATAAATAATTGCTCATCTCCACAGTATACAAAAATACAAACAAATAATTATTATTTAGATATTTCAAAAATTGCAGATAGATTTGTAGAACTAAAAAATAATGTAATCGTTGAAATTAAGAATTTTGCTTTTTGTGAAAACTCTACATGTTTATTAGGATCGTCTTTATTTGATATTCAATACATAAGAAAAGAAAATAATTTACTTGAAGTATAAAATTTTAGAAGTATAAAGTATTAACTTTATTAAAAGAAAATTAGTAGTATTACCTTATAAACACAATTTTGTTTTATTTCCACTGCTACATCTAAATTTATAATTACAGCTAATTTTAGACTTGCCAAAATTTATATAATATTTCTTGTTCTATATAATACACATTTTTTTATTATATAAATGTTCTTTTTTTACAATATTATAATATATTATAATAATATAAACAGTAAAAAATATTAACATATTATTTTACTTTTTAAATCATATTATTATAAATAATTAAAATTAGTATGAATCACATTAAATTATAAACTTATTTATTTTTATATTTAAATTTTTATGTTTAAATATTATTTCTGTTTTATGGTAAAATATCACCAAAAAGATGACTTGGTTTGTTGTCAAATTTGATGCCGAGGATACAGTAGAAGCTGTACCAAAGACGTGGTACATAAAAAGAAATTCACAGTGTTATTGGCCACCAGAAGGCACTCTGAAAAGTGTTATAATAGATTTAATAAAAAAGAAACATATTCCTGAAGCAAACTGGATGTTATATGAAGCTACTATTTTGGGCATTTAAAAATACATTTATATAAAACCAAGTATAAAACATATTATTTTATAATATTGATCTTAATTCTGAGTTTATAGTATTAATTATTATAATAATAATTATTATAGAGATATTACAGTGAGTTATTTATGATAATTGTAACTAATATTTGTATTTTAATCTATATCTATTTACGCTCTCAAGATCAATGAACTTTTTTAAGAGCATTATTTTTAAGTGTTAATTCATTTCTGAAGTAAGTCTTATATCCTGTATTGTAATTAATATGTTTTATGTTGTTTATTTTTTATGTATATAAAAGATATATGTAAATAAAACATATATTAATTACAATACAGGATATAGGACTTACTTCAGAAATGGATGGATATATATATATATATATATATATATATGGATTATATCATCCTGATTATAATGTATGTGTTTATTTGTCTTTCAGGATGATATAATGCATATGGAAGTAGAATTTCTAGATATGAAGACAGTGATACTTCAAACATTTCTCACGATACTTTAAAAAGTAATGATAACAATATTTCACCATCACAAAACATAAATGCAATGTTATGGAATAAACACAATAACTGTAAGGGAGTATTGATTAAAAAAGAAAATAGGAATCAGATAAAAAACAGTAATGCACATATTGAACAAGCTAAATGTGCTGAAGGCCTTCAGAAAAATGACAATACACTAAAAGATTCAAATACTCGTGTACAAAAATCCGAAAATGAGGAAATAAATAACACCAATTCAAGAAAGGGGGAAAAATATCAAAAAAAGAATTGAAAAATACTATTAAAATTTCAACGAAATTAAACGATGTTTATGCACAAACATATGAATTAAAAAGGGATTATTACAATGCTAAGCTAGAATATTTAAGGAGATTGGTGGAAGCGCATGAAAAATTAGCCGGTGTTACACAACTGTGACAAAAAAGTAATATTTGAATATTACATTTATACACTTAGTGCTTATATAAAGAGATTAATATTTTTCCTTTTGTTTTATTGGGTTTGTTATGCGTTGCCGATTGGTGACGGCTTACGGCAAAACGTTTATTATTTTCGGGATCTCTTGACCTTACGAGTTGGGACTCGGTAGGCACAGGCGGGCAGACTAGGAAGCGGTCGGGTTCGCAGGTGGAACAAGGTGTAGGCGTCGTTAAATAAACTTCACTTCGTTTTACTTTATATTGGAGCTTTATTTCAGCGCTCCTGTTACACTCACTAACTTACACTTGTAGTTGCCTTTCACAATTATTATATCTCGCACGCGCTTTGTTATAATGTAGAACTTCGCGACACGGCTTACGGGAACGGTCACGGGCAGAGTCTCCGGTGTATTACTCTCCGTCGCGGCTTCTTCGACGGTCCCTTATATTGCTTTGAGTTATGCCCTGTCGGCACTTTTCCGCCGGGTTCGACGGTCCCCCGAATGAGGTCGGTCAGTGACCGAGCGCATTCGCAATCTCGCTGTACTTCCGCGGTTCCGCGAATGTCGAAATGCGTTGTCGCACATTCTTATGCATATCGCAATAGTTCGATTGACGCGGAAGCTTGATGAACTTCCGCGTCCGCGTCAGCGTAAATTGAGGAGTCTTTCGAAAGACAATTTCCTCGAAGTCTTTCGAAAGGCTATTCTATAATTTTATTATAAATAATTTAATAATTACCCGTTGTAATTTCAGATTACAACATCCCTCCCCCGTTAAAAAGAGAAAACGAGGTTCGCGAGTTTTCGCTATATTCTTTAATTTATACTTTGTTGTATACCCATTTCTATATTTTTCCCTTATATATATTTTACATTTTATGATACCCGTGTACAATATTTTGGTATAATCGTTTACTATTCTATTAGAACCTAGTACTTACACTACGTTTTAAAATTGGTTTCGGAAATCCGTATGGTCGAAATGATCTTTCTTCGTCGTATAATGTAAGTGGTGATCGTGGGTTCTTTTTCTTTTTTATTAATACGTATATTACAGTGCTTACTATGGCTAATGTAATTATACCGCTCGCTGTCATTGGGTATATAAATTGTTTTCGGACGTAAAAATTTCGGTCGTCGTCCTCTAGGTCAGTATTCATCTTTTGTATTTGTGTTTTTAATTCTGTCAGTTCAGCTCGATGCTGAGTTAAATCGTCCGTTGTCTCGTTCCGTAATGTGATCGTTTCATGGTCATATGTAAGCGAAATATTTACTTCGGGTAAATATGTCTCTATATCTGTCTCGTATATTGTCTCTTCAGCTTGTACTGTCATATCGGTTGTCATTAGCTTACACTCCTTTTCCAGCGTAATTTTGCCAGTGTTGTTGATTATCTGCTTCTCCTCGTGTTCATTACATTGTATAAGTATTGGCTGTTCAGTTACTGTTGAATACAGCCAATCGTGTGGTCGTCGTAATGAAATCCACTTTGTTTGTGTTGTAACAGTGTGTCTGAATTTGCACATTTTGTAGTAATGTTGCTGTTGAACATACATTTGTATCTCGCATGATGCGTTTCCATCTATACGATATACCGGTGTATTTTGTGTGCATACGTACTGTAAATTGGTAGAAGTACACTTTGCCAGATAATCTTCATCTAAAAGCATGTAGTTCACTCTTTCTTTGTCTACTGCTATTATTTTATTGTCGACTCTTACTGATGTGAGTATATTCTTGCGCGTGAGCACAGGAAATTCAATAACGCTCATTATCTCGTAGAGCGGTGGTGTGATTAGAGGAAAAAGTAAGACGGTATATATTTGATTATTCTTGTAGAATGCCCTTATTGTCGTGTGTTTTTCAATCGTAAACCAGTCTTCGAGGTGGACTCTAAACGGGAAATATGATCCCGGTGGCAATTGCTGACTTGCTTCTTTCAATTGCCAGGTGATATCCTCTACTGGCATTAATTTCGGATGCATTGTTCCCTTTCTTATGCATGCCAAATATTCAAGTATGTTCTCGACGTCGCGGATTAGATCTGTGATTACCGCTATGCCAATTTCAAAATGTTCTTTTATTTCGTCCTTATTAAAGTAATCTGTAAATCGTTTTTCTAATAGATTACGATTTCGTTCCATTATGCCTTCTAATTTCTCTATATGCCCTACAATATCCAAAGCACATTTCTCGAACGGCTTGGTAGGTGTGTCCGTAATTACCAACGGTACTTTATTTTTCCGCGATAACTTATTTCTTTGACATAGCTCGCATTTAGCTATATATTTTTCGACGTCTTTCGTCAATCCGCGCCAGTTATGATTTAACCGGATTCTATTTACTGTTCGTTCGACGCCTTGGTGCCCTCCTATAGGTGCATCATGGTACTAATGTAATATCTGCTTCTTTTCTTCTTCTGTATATATTCTTGCTTCCTCTTCGTTGGAATTATCCTCGTTTATCGTGTGGATTTTCGGTTCTTCTTCTGCGGCAACTTCGTCTCGTTTTACATTGCGGCTCAGTGCGTCGGCGTTTACATTCGCCTTTCCGGCTTTGTGTATAATTTCGTAATTGTGTTCTTCCAGCTGTAATCTCCATCGAATCAATCTTGAGCCTGGATCGTTAACGTTAAATAACCATGTTAACGGCTTGTGGTCGGTCACAATTTTAAATTTGGTGCCGTACACGTAAGGTCGGAAATGTTTGACCGCCCATACAATGGCTAGCAACTCTTTCTCTGTGGTGTTATAATTTTGTTCTGCTCGTGATAGAATTCGACTGGCATAAGCTATTGGCTGGTCTTCACCTATCTTTCCTTGAGATAGTATTGCTCCGATGGCATGGTCGGATGCGTCAGTAGTTATAATAAACTCTTGCGTAAAATCCGGATACTTAAGCACAGGTGCCGTTGTTAGTTTTTCTTTTAAATTATTGAAAGCATTTTCTTGCTCTGAAGTCCATACAAATTTTTCCGTTTTCTTTGTTAACTTTGTTAACGGTTTGGCTGTCTTCGAGAAATCTTTTATGAATTTTCTATAGTAACCGGCTAAGCCGATAAATGATTGCACGTCCTTTACTCTTTTTGGCGTAGGAAATTCTTTTATCGCTACTAGTTTTGACGGGTCTGGAGAAATTCCATTCTCCGAAATAATGTGGCCTAGGTAGATTACTTCCTTGCGCAAGAATTCACACTTCTCCGGTTGTAATTTTAAACAGTTTTTCCGGAGTCTTTGTAGCACCTCTCTTAATCGTTTGTTGTGGTCCTCCAGGCTAGGTCCATACACTACTATGTCATCTAGGTACACAAGACATTTAATTCCCTGTAGGCCAGTTAGTACAGAAGTCATTAACCGCTGAAACGTTGCGGGCGCGCTCTTTAGCCCGAACGGCATGCGATTAAATTCGTAGTGGCCGTAAGGTGTCGAAAATGCCGTCTTGTGTTTATCTCGTTCGGCCATCGGTATCTGGTGATACCCAGATGCCAGATCTAGCGTAGTAAAATACTTGGCGTTCCCCAACTGATCAAGTATATCAGTGATATTTGGCAGTGGGAATGAGTCGCCTATCGTTAGATCGTTTAGCTTCCGAAAGTCTACAACTACTCGGAGCCTTGGATTTCCGGCTGCGTCAGCTTTTTTAGGTACCACTAACAACGGTGCATTCCATTGGCTAGTACCATGGTAGAAATACAAGGGTATGCTCTTGCGCACATTTCCGAACCCAGCCAATCAGCGACTTTTCCAACCTTACGTCACAC